ATTTTCTTCTATTTTGCATGACAAATTGTTATATATAAGGAGAGGAACTTTGTAAGTTGTAAAGAACTTGTTTCCAATCCTTTTGATGTACTCAATAAAATATGTTCAAAACATGACTTCAAATTAGACTGTTGATATCCTTGTTCCATCAACTTTTTTGTCAATAGCTTGCCTCGTTTTAGAAATTGTTCATACGTAGAGCATCTTCTTCATAGTTTATCAATGGTTTGCTTATGGGGGTATTACTACCTTTGAATGTCACTATATTCTTGAAGGTTTTATTTAACAAATAAAAAAAAATTCAAAAGCTTGAAAATCTTTGTTCTTTCTTATTTGCTGTGTGTGTGGATGTTATTATTAATAAAGTTCCCTTTCTTTAAGGAGTAGGTAAAAATAGCAACTACGAGAGTCTATGGGTAAAAATGCATATTAAATATACAATACTTGTACATGTATATAAAAAACAATATATGTACTTCAAAGTGTACAGACAAAAAAATACAGTATGCCAGAAATTTTCAATGATATTTGAAAACGTTTTTGATTCAATGTCTTGAAAATTTAGGTACAAAACACTTACGATTTTTTAATATTGGTCCTGAACGATGTGAGACTCTATGGGACTCTACCTTTCCATTTTATTTCTATATGCAGATGTCAGGATACTGATTCTAGATGGCTCAGAAAAAAGCCTAATAAATGCTTTAGACCTTTTTCAGGACTAAAACCAAATGCATCTAAAACAAAAGCTATTTAAAATGATTCTGAAATACATTCTGGGAACGCTTTTGTAATGAAAGACTCCAGTGGACAGTAGGAACCATTTACAGCCTTTAGCATTACAAACACCGCCAACCTAAAAAGAAAACGTATGGGAAAAGTATTTTGAAACATGTCCTTAAAACACAAAAAAGATTGTCATGATCAAAAAGAAATTAACTCCAGCAGAGAACGTTACAGTTATCAAAAGTTTACTTTTATCCTACACAATTATCCTGACAAAATAAAAGAATTGGAAAAAAAACTTTTCTACAAATTTATTTGGAAGATAAGATCTATAAAAAAAAAATGCTGCTTTCCTATAAGGACGGTGGACTCAAATTGACAAATATTGAGTGTTTTATTTAATCTTTAAAATTAACTTGGATCTGAAGATAGCTATCTTCAAACTCTGGTTGGATTCCACTGTTCACTGAAATAACAAGCTGTAATATTGATATTTTTTATGATTTGATGATTGAAATTTTTTTTAAACCTCCCATTCATTTTTACAAAAGGAAAAAAAAGGGGGGACACATTTTAAACAGTTAACTTAATGTTGAAAATTTTTAAACAAACTCAGATATATGACATTATAAGCTAAAATATTTCTCCAAAGTAGATATTGTAAAAATCCTAACACTTTCAAATTTAATGAACTGATGAACACAAATATAATGTAGAAATACAAAAATCATTGTCAAAATTTATTAAGAAAATTTTCAAAACTGTTTGTCCTTCTTGAATCATCCATATATATAACTGATTATATGTTTACCTCATTCTTTTCTTCTTCTTTTTTATATACTTGTCTATTTTTTTACCCTTGACTGTAATATTTGTTTGTATATATGTATATATGTACCTCTTGTACCAGTGATCTGGTTTTGAGTGAATAAAGAATTGAAATTGGTTGGATTCCACTGTTCACTGATATAACAAGCTGTAATATTGATATTTTTTTCATGATTTGATGATTGAATTTTTTTTTAAAACCTCCCTTTCAATTTTACAAAAGGATAAAAAAAAGGGGGGGGGTCACATTTTAAACAGTTAATGTTGAAAATGTTAACAAACCCAGATATATGACATTATCAGACAATTTGTGAAAATTCTCAATAAAGATGAAAAAAGATTCTAGAACAATTCAAAATGCATATTTGTTATATCAAACATACACCACACCGAAGTGTGAATCAAAACGGGCAGCAGAGTTACAGTAACAGCAGGAATTTGATTGAAAATTGAATCATAAAAAACATTATTCAATAACAAAAGATACAAGGTTGATAGGGTTTAATTTTAGAATCATACATAGAATTCTTGGTACAAACAATTATTTGTTTTGTATCAAAATTTAGAGAAAATAATTTATGTTCTTTGTGTCAGCTGGAAGTTGAATCAATTGTTTCATATTTATAACTTTTACTGTCCCAAAGTTTATCCATTGTGGTCCCTTATTTTAAACTGTTGAAATAATAAAATTTGATGTATGTACAGTTACTGATAACTTGGTTTTCACAAAGGAGACAAAATTGTTAATCTTAAGAAATTACTTGTTCAACAAAATATTTTCAAGCAATCGAGACAAAAATAAATAATTATACAATACAATCTAAAATGTCATTAAATTCATATATGTGTATTTTAAATTTCAAGAAGAGTTGTACAAATTCAACAATGAAATGTATATGTATACTAGATAGCTTAACTGGAACTGTATATACATGTGTATTTGAAAATACATGTATAGTCATATAAATAATGCCATTGTCATTAGCGATATATATATATATATATATATATATATATATATATATATATATATATATATATATATATATATATATATATATATATATATTGTCTTAAAATTTATATACAAGCCTTCCAGTTACAGTGTGTTAGTGGTTGTGAATGTATGTTTGTATATGATTTAGAAGAATAAAAAAAAAAAAATTTAAAAAAAAAAAAACTACAAAAGTCTCTTACTGCAGTAAGAAAAAAGTCATGCTAGCATATCTTTTTCTCGAATTTCCTTTGATTTCACTTATGTACAAGTAAAATTGATGCAAAGCATCAAATTGCCTGCAAACAAAATGTAGCATTTTTGAAAAGTTTTTTTTCACAAGGAAGCTTTTCAGGAAAGCGCAAGATTTTCAAAGCTGAGTGAACATTTTTATTTCAGGATACACCCCCCCCCCCAAAAAAAAAGAAAGAAAAGAAAAGAAAGAGAAAAAACAAAAATTGCAAGAAAAAAGAAATTCAGTAATTGCTTTTGTACATCAAATTGATTTATCGATAAAGAAAATCAGTGATATATATATATATATGATAAAAATATATTCAAATCTACAGATGAACCACGTTCTGAAACCCTGATCTTTGTCACGTGATGATGCCGCTGATTTCTGCAGACTATGCAGCATGGCGCTTTGATGGACATCACAATAAAATGCAATGTGTAGAAAAAATATCCTTGTTTCATTCGCAGCTGTAGCATACACAAAATTATTTTTACTAGTTTTACAAACTTTTCATTTTTTTTCACTTAAATTATCACTGTAATTTATATCCGGAATATCATAACGATTTGTGTTTATACACTGTATCTTACACTTTCTCAAGTTGGGGAGTACGTGTACCTACTGTAAACCTTTTAAAAAATTAAAAAAATTAATAATTATCTGATGAAGAATGAAAATTGAAATAACACGTAATAACAACATTTAAGACTTTATTTATAGCAAGATTTTAAAACATTTCACGCTAATTTGTATATATCTTATCATCAACGAATTAATTTAACGAACTTAAAAAGAAATAACACCACATTTCCCTACACTTCCTAATACAACCAAAATAGATCGGCCGATAATAAATAGTAAGAAAAAGCCAGAATTGCATACATCGATTTTTACACCAGAGGTACCTTCATTCTATAATAAACAAGTTCTCTATCAACAGTCAGCTACATGTATAGAAATAGGTTTATATTCGAGCATTTTCCTTCCAGATACACACAGGCCCGTAGAACGCAAGGGGGGGGGGGGGGGGCAGTGAGCCCCCCCCCCCCCCCCCCGCTTTTTTCTGAGTATAGTATTTTGCTATAGAGATTTTCCTTTAGATGCTGTCTGGCCCCCACTTTTTGATGCTCTAAGGTCGAGCACTGGCAAATTCAAAGATTTGGACAGTAAATTAGCTTTTTTTTTGGCTTGTCAGATAATTTTGGTTTGGTGCCCCCCCCTTTTTGGTCAGTTGAACCCCCCCCCCCAACACACACACACTTTTGAAATCGTTGCTACGGGCCTGACACAATCTTTTCATATTCACATATCTGATTTTTACTAAACCAAATGCTTAACGGCAGATGAACTCTAGCAACCATTTAAATAAAAAGGTTTAGTTATTTATGTACTATTCAATATAAATCCAGAAGTATAGCACAGATACGGTTTGCTTTATAGAATTTATTGTCTTAAATTACTAGAAACACATAAATGTATTTAATAACCAAATATTTCATTCATTCAAAGAAATATTCGTTCTCTGCTTAAATCTCTGGGAACATACATATATTTAAGACTCATATGTTTATTCACCCAAATGAATATTCACTACTTACTTGTTTTAAAATAACTTTTGCAATTTTATATGTTAATCTACAAAAACAGCTTACGTCAGACCCAATGAATAACATATGCATTTATGTAAACTATACATGTATGCATTGAATGTGTTATAAACAATAGGTATTTTCTGAAGTATTTGTTACAAACTGTAGCTGTTTTCTGAAATACATTCGAAAAACTATACATGTTGTTGTTTTATTTTAAGAACTTGTTATAAATCAAAGTTGTTTTCAGAAGTACATGTACCAGGGTAAACTATATTTGTTTACTGTTATGAACTAAGTTGTTTTCTGGGTTACTTGTTAAAAATCGGGTTGTTTTCTAAAGTAATTGTTATAAACTGTACACTGTATTTGTTTTTTAAAGTACTTATTATGAACTAAAGTTGCTTTCTAAAGATGTTTTTGGGTTACTATTTATAAATTAAGCTGTTTTGTGAAGTACTTGTCATTAACTAGAGTAATTTTCTGAAGGAATTTTTAGAAACTACATAATGATTATTTTTTAAGTTCTTGTTGCAAACTATATTTGTTTTGGAGTACCTTTTATAAACTAGAGTTGTTTTCTTCAATACTTGTTTAGTATACACATTATTTTCTTTCTTTTTAGAACCCCTAACAATGACTATGATGACGTCACTGGAACCACCAACATGGTTCACTCCTGGAGGTAGTAATTAGTATGCACAGAAGAAAAACAGCTCTGAGATTTACGACCCGTGGTTTGCGTTCCAGAGAGTAATCAAATTTAAAATATTCAACAATGGAATATGTTAACATTGAATTATTATCATTATATATCAAGATAGTGTATTCAAGGACTTTTTTCCCATGTTACATATTCATTATCATAGATGTTTTGCAATTTAAATGAAATGAATGTAATTTAAATATGATATAATTTAAAAATATTCTTTAATTCTATTTTTTTCTAGGATGGAAGATTTAAGTGCAACAAATCATAACTGAATTTATGCTGAGAGCGACATCATATTCTTTTCTTATTTTTATTCTAGCATCAGGATCTTTTAAACAAATTTGGACTTAATCCACAAAAATGAGGTAATGCACATTAAATATCAACCTCCGTTACCTTGTTAAAAATTTATATACCTATTTATTTCTTAAATATGACTTTGTTATAATTCGACGGCTAAAGGTCAAGTAAATTTGTCCATGTATTTCACAAAAGTATTACTTCTTTCACCCCCTTTTGGACCCCAGAACACCCTATGACGTCCTATCTGTTCTAGTCTGTTATGGCTGCCCCCAGCTAACTGTGAGAGATATGAGTGATTTACGCTTACTGCGGTGGGTCCTCTATCTGAACTCTGAATTTACATTAAATTTTCATTGGCTACAATTTCAATGATTTTATGCAGAAATATTTTTGGCTCTGTCTACAGGCAATCAAGGGGACTGCCGAAAATTGTCATCTGATAAATTTTAAACATGTTTGAGAGCTTAAATTAAAAAAAATGCAATTATTTAATGATTATATACCATTAAGATATATAAACCTCAAAGTGTATTTACTTAGTGTTGATTTTATTTTTATGAATTCGTTTTAAAACACAAATTCCAGATTTATATTAATCTAGAATCTCTTTTCAATCTTAGATATTAGTGAAAGAGTTAATTATGAACAACTACAGATTTGACAAAGATTTCGATGTCTCTTAACTTTTACATAAGGAATTATTCCTAATTGACCCTAGCTAAGCATGGATTTCCTCAAAGTGCCAAATTACGCAAGCTGGGACAAATTTTGATGACAAAGTTATGGCCAGTTTATGTTCCAATCAGATAGATCGTAAACATGTTTATATGCTGGGAATGCCGAGAGGGGGGCTGTACCGGGCCTCAGCCTGGATTTCTGATTAAAAGTAGATAGTTAGAACAATTAAACAAACACTCACACACATGTTCTCACGGTGTTCCGGCGATTAATTAGCTCTGTCTCTAATTAGGTACCTCTCTCGTTTTTATGTCTTTTATCATTGGTCGGTCGTAAAATTTTGGACCACGGGTAAAACTAATTTCATATGGAGGGTCTGGAATCTATTTGACCCACGGTTGACCATGGCGCGCAATTTTGTCTGGTCATAAAAACGAAATTTCCGAGGCTATCCTCTGTAAATATTTAATATAGTAATATCGCCAATATTCTGTCTCCAGTAACCCTCAAAAAGCACTTGTTATGTTTGGATTTATATTGTCTGAAAAAAGATTTTCCAAAATCAACATCAACATTCGCAGATCTATTTTCATACCATTTTCAAGTATTTCTGAATTTTTCACCTCAAAAGACTTTCAGGTAATATATTTTCAAACACTTCTTCAATTAAAAAATGAAGAAGCGATGCTTTATGAATAATTTTTCAAATTTTATGATTCTACAATAAATTGTAACTATTTGATATACGTGTTATTAATGATTTGTTTTTTTTTTATTGAAGTATGTTAATTTTTTTTCTCGTTAATACATAAGCTTTATATTTTTACACTTTTTAAATATCAATATTTGTAATGGATTAATCTTTATATTAACAGGATTATGTAACAGAGTTCGTTTTTCAACCATTATTTTAATCGATGATTTAAATTTTATTAACAAATATTCAAGAAAATTTCTCATTTTTTTTTCTTCCTCGACAATCCAGCTGCACAAAAGTCAAACATTCATATTTTTATATACTATTTTGCACACGATCAATTTTCATTCAATGATCTTTCCCCTGAGCAATACAAGAGTTGAATGTCTTATATCCTTTTTTGTCTGTTAAGAAAAGATAAATTACATTTATCTATAGGAATATAACCTCAATCATTAAATTTAATAGATAATTTTGAATGTAGAATTATAATTGGGAAAATTTTAAATTCACAGATTTAACTGACGAAAGACCTTTTTTATCATCTGCGAGATATAATGAATTAAGTAAGATTTCCTTAATTGAAGTTCGCTTAAAAGAAATATATTTTTTTTATTTATTTATGATTTTTTATGTTTAAAATTGCAGGCTGCTATACAAATGTATGACATTTATGTGGCCATTTTTTTTCTTCCTTTCTTTTTTTTTAATCTTTTATTTATTTTAATATCATTTTATATATTTTGGACCAATTGCTCGAATTAAATTATAAACATTCTTTGTCAAGATTTTCAAATATATATATATCTTGATCTGGTTCAAGATACCTATAATTAAATGTAATATATATCTGTAAAAAATTAGTCCCGTACTCAATTCCATTCTTTTATGTATATCTTGTGGAAAGAAAATACACATATACATTATCCATTTGCTCACAGAAACTGTAGTTCGTTAAATCCAAACTTCATGGGAGAAATACGGAATATTCCATCAAGACATTCAAGACACACATTCCTAAACAAGCAAGTGAAACAACGGCGTGTTTTCCTAATGCTAGCATATTCCAGACAGTCTCTATGTGTTCCTTAAATTCCCATTACCTATTCATAAATACTGGAGACATTTTTTTTCAATTACAAAAAATACATATGTATGCAGATAAGAATTTCAGTTGACATTGCAGTTCAAGCACGGAATTTCTGTGTGCACAAAACCTCGGTGTTGTCTTTGGTTATAAAGGAATTGTAAACATAAAATCAAAATTTTATGTTAGCCGTGAGTTATATGGATAATTTTGTAGCCCTTTATTTCTGGATCATCCTCCGATCTTATGATTACCAGTCTTATTTTATTTGCTAATTCCCAAATACTTTACGATTTAATTACCAGACAAAAGAAATAAATCTGTGATAAAGTTGAATAACGCTCTCACACTTAAAACCATGTAGAAAATAACGGATTTCTGTGTATCTTTCATCATATCTGAGGTTGCCCAAAGCACAGAAGCCCGATTGACTTCATTAGATTAATTTTACTATTGGTGTTATATGCATTTTACGTTCAACTTCTCATAAAATGCATCGTTGCAATAAATTTAAGCGTTGTGTGTGTTATAAATATGAAATAAAATTATTGGCTGGAGTCCGTAAAGTGAACGGATCCTCATCGATGTATATTTTCTGATAACATTGGCAATGTTTTGATAACCTGTAATCAAAATTGAACAAAGTAATGCATAATTACGTCCTTATTTAAAACAGCTGACTTCCCAATTAGATAACAATATCTTACATTTTTATATACAATTTTAAGTATACATGTAAATCATTATTCCGTTTAATTAAAGCATGTTAATAAAACGTCACCTACATTATATTCTCATGACTTTTCATTAGCCATTTAAGAATTCGTTTTCTCTGTCTTGAATAATGCATTAATGAAGCCTAATCAATGTTTGGGTGGCAACGGACTCAGCGTAGTAATACACAATCTTTCGTCGTGAAATGGTCTAAGTGGCCTTATCGCATCCATCTTGAAAATCGCCCTCCGCTGAATTCAATTAATATGTAAGCAACCAATATTGGCCCCTATTTAGAATCTTACGGAGGTGAGGCATAAAAAGTGAGAAATTTGATATAGACTTTCACAGTAACACGTACTTTTGCTAATATCGAATTCGCTTTCTTAAGGCTTATTCTTTTTCAATGCTTAGACTGCATCACCGTCTAAGATATAATTAGACTCTATAGAACACGGCATTGCTATAAATCTCCCTAGAGACAACTTTCAATGAACTTGCATTTTTAAAAAGTAACATCCCATTTGGTGAATATTTTAGAGACATCCTAAGTTGCTTGGTAGTGTTATCTGGTAGTGGGCTTGTGCTGGAAGCTGTGGGACTGATCTACTTGGCCCTGCATCACCTTACTTTGTTAAGGTAAGATTTAGAATGTTTTAATACCTTGATGAATTTAGGGAACAATTTAAAAATAAATAGGGGTACTAGGGGAATACTAAAGATCGCACAATTTGCATCGGGTTCGCTTGATGACAATTTTATCGTCTTTTATGGGATGTTTTATTTCTCAATCGCTACTTTGTGTTTGAATGAGGAAAACATCCAGAATAATGGCCGCGATGCAATCAAAGTTTGATGGCGTCTATACTAGTGAGAAAAAGTAAGACTCTCAGTAGAGAAACATGTAAAAGGAGGCAGGTATCACGAGCAGCCCTTGATTTTCTTCGGCACTCAAATCTAAATAAAATTGACATAAAACGCAACCGAATGCATTTAAGTGCTGGTTTATATTTTAAAGAATATTTTTATGATTTTTTGCCGCGGAAAACCGAATAAGATCGTGGTTTTATTGCTGAAGTTTATAATCAATTATCAAGGAAAGTAAAGTAACTGTTCGCCTATAAAAATTAATATTTCAATAGAGCACTTGCTAAAAACAATTTCTAAACTGCATTTAAACTGAGATAAAAGTGATTTTTTTTCCTTGCTTATTGGTATGTAGTTAATGTCATAAACTGTGAATTAATTTTCAACAAGGCGTTTAAATCAACATTAACTTCAAAAATTCAAAACAATTAACATGCATGTTCTAAATAAATCAGCTCTGCAGAGTGTGCATCGTTTCTCAAAGAAGAGGTTGTCCCCCATGACGTGTTCATTGCTGCATTGAGATGTCACATAATTAACACTATAGCTTAAGGGAAATCATCTGCATAATAAATATGTTTTGATTTATTTATCTTTTTATCAATGAATCTTTAGTTAAATTAAAGAATTCTTAACTTTGACCTTCCGACCTTATACTCTAGATTTTATAGATATTTTTTCAGAATGAATGATAATATACTTGAGTATGTTCTATCAAAGTTTTTTTTCCGTGTGTTTTGTCTATAATTGATTGATTAACTCATTTTAACCTGCATTTACATACGTAATAAATGTCAACTCTGTAATCTGGTTTCTGGGGAAATAAGTGTTTGTGAATACCGTATAAGTCATAGTATATCACTCTCTGCTAACAGATCAATGGAAGCCGATTGTCGCGAGATTCCTGTATTATGTAAACAAATGCACGTGCAGTGATACATGTGGTATTTTTTTTTATCGGAAATGCACATATTTCATTTCATGAAAAGGTTTTGATTTGATAAAAACAATTTAAAAGATATTTTTTTAAAACTTGATTCAAAATATTTTTTTTTCAAATATCTTACTGAGGGAATAATTAATAAAGATTTTTCATATGGTATTACTATACATTTGCATATAGAAACAAATATCCCCTTCCAAGAGAGTACTTATTTCATCATTACTACATAACTATATTCAGAATTTGTTCTATCTGGAGTTGCATAGGACCAACAAATTTAACTGAACATACATGTATTCTAACGGAACAATTAAGAAAATTTGACTCAATCAATGATTTCTTATTGATCCGATTTATAAACTAGATTTACATAACCGGAATTACGAATTCTTGAAATTTCGTTCCTTTGTAAAACCTTGCAACAAAAAGACGCAACATTGCAATGTTTACTTGGTGGTCTACAAAGAATCGCTCAAAATATTTCAGCTTATCATCGCTCTATTCTAAAATTGCAACACAAACGGGACATACTTCATTTTATCACGATCTCGGCAATAAAATAACATTTCAATCTGATATTATTTTTGTTACCAAGCAACGGAATACAATTTTTGGTTGATCTTTTAAAAAAAAAAAATCATTGCCCAAACATCTACCAATACGCAGTGATTCTCATACATGTAACAATTTCAGGAAAAATCTTTTGAAAATAGTCGCACAGTAGAAAAAAAAACTGCTTAATATGAACTGCGAATATGTATTCAAGATTGTACAGCTGTAATTGTTTTCAGTTTGCTTTTAATAAGTTATTAGATCTTAACACGACTTTTTTTTTTTAATTTCTACATCTTTGAACTTTATGGGAAAGATTTAGTTAAAACTGAAAGGGGGGAAATCGGTGTTTTATAAATCTAAACACAAAATTCATCAAATAATATCTGGTACAATGTAGATTAAAAAAACATTCAGTTTCATTCACAAATCATTCCCAAACCAAATGATTTTTTTTTTAATTTTGATTTTGTTTTTGTTGAATTTGCTGTAGCAAAAATAATATATTATTATTATCTAATTTAAAAAAAAATAACATAAAGGAAATAAATATAAAACCTTTTAGAATCAGAACGTCTAACATTTGTCGCAAAGAACGACACCGTTTATAGAACGGCATGGATGCCAGTAAATGTTATATAAAACACCCAGATATAGGTCACTTTCCATAAACCCTCATAAAACGACTCTTTTACTGGAGTTTTATTGTTACGTCTAGAGTTTTATACTTCTTCAAATTCTCTTGTCGTTTGAACAAAAACCATCACACAAAGCTCTCAATGCTGCAATGCTTTACACGTTTTATTCTTTTTCTTATGAGATTAAGAATATATTCCAGAAAGATGGTCCACATAGTATCTACAGTATAACACGTGTCTTCAATGAATTACTGTCATAGCTATCAGAGCTGCTGGATCCTTAAAGCAATGCTCATCTAAATAGAGGTTATAAGAATAACACAAAACGAACTTTAAGTTTTATAATAGTAAATTTGAATTTCAAAAAATTATTTGATAGGACATTTCTAGTAAGATCAATGAATTGTACAAGGAGAAAGAAGGAAAATAAAAAAAAAAAGATATGCCAAAGATGTTATACTGTGCTCTATCATAATGTCATTTTCATGTGAAGAAAATATTACTTATCAATATTTTTTTATGTTTCAACTCAATGCAAAAGTCATATAGTTTTAGTAATTATATATACATATAAATAATGCATCAAATAAGTCATGTTACATACATGCTGTTCATCTGAGCGCAATACATTCTATTTTGTACATGTAGGAACAAATTTAACCTTTGCAAAGAAACTTTGTTCTTTCTTCTTATTTTTTACTCATCTCTAATTTCTGTTAAGGCGCCAATATAATAGAATTCATACTATTCAGTAATTATCAAAGAGTTTAGAATGACTATCAAAAATGTAATGGATGAAAATTACGCCAGGGAAATTTTATTTTAAAGGCTTCATGTTATTTTTTTTTTTTTATCAAACTTCAAAAGGCTTTGAATTCACATAAAAATAAATTTATACACATGTTCTGCCAACATGCATGTACTACATGTACTTCATGCATCCTGCTTTTTATACATGTACATCATGTATGAAGTTCAATTTTATCTCGAGTCCTTTAGTATATTTTATCTCGAGTCCTGTAGTACATTTTATCTCGAGTCCTGTAGTATATTTTTAGTCCAAGATTTCTTATCTTCTCCACAAATTCTCACGAATTTCGTTTAATTAGCCCACTGTATCGACAAGTGTGAAAACAATGTATGTAATTGTGTCTCTAATGATGGAACGATAAATGTATGTAAATGCATTTATATGTTATGAAATGTGTTTGAATGTGCTATTAGAAGAACGCTTTTAAAAAAGTTAACTTTCTTTTAGAAGTCCTTAAAAGTATTCATATCATCCATTATCTACGCGGAGAGTGAAAAACATATTGACAACATAAATTCCCAGTGCAATAAATCTCAGAGATACAATATTCATAAAGCATCTCGACAAAATTAACTTCTGCTGATCCACAAAATGGTTCCCCATAAACATTGACATTTTATACAAACCGCAACTGTAAGCGATCATATAAAGGATTACAAAAATGCACCAGTTTTGTTAGGCGGGTCAACAATGGTAGTAGAGACTGTTACCCTAACCTCGTAAGTCATCAGCGCTATCTTGGGAAATATTTTATTAGCTGACTTTTGGCCTGTTATACACTTATCTAGCACAGGATCAGGGTTCAGCTACAAAACACCCTGCCATCAGGACAAAAAGACAAGCTAGCAAATGAAAATATTGTGTTTCAACTTATTGTTTATGGCCAATCCTAAGTCATAAGAAGGGTCGCTTAAGATTGAAATTCTGATATATACAAGAAGTGACTGTCCATGAATGGCATCTTTAAATTGACGTGTGATCCACCAGAAAAAAAATTATTAAAATGCTTCGTAATCCAATACAATATATTTTCAATTTTTTCATTTAATTTGCATAGAGGATATTGATTTGAAGAATGTCAAAATTTCAGTTTCTTTTCTTGTGTTTCATGCAATAAAGAAAACAATGGCATATTTTATGACCTTGCTTTCGTTTTCGGGGACAATTAACAAAGGTGTACAGAAGAGGCTTGCCATCAAAACTTCATAAAATTCCATAAAGACACGACTTCACATCAAATAAGGCCCAAAATTTATATCATCAATTATTCTGCAAAATGCAATTACTTGCAGAAATTCCAATTTTTCTTAATCTGTTACAATACTATTATACCTTCCTTGCACATAAAAAAAGAATAAAACTGTTCTAATGAAATCATAAATGTAAGTGAATACCTCGTCAAGGAGGCAAAGAACTCGGTATAGATAGCTACCTCTAATGACCATAAAAAAAATTTTTTTTTTCATCTTTATCACCACAAGACAAGGAATTGAAATACTTCGGAATATTGCTGAAATTATCTGAATCATAAAATGCAGTGGACTTTTATTTTAAGCAATTAAAAATGAAATGTGAAGATAAGGAACAATGATCTTTTTCAAAAGTCCGTTTAAACAATTCAAATTATGAACAGAGCCAACACGAACCTCTGAAAATAGAGGTGGGATCAGGTGTCATGGAGGGGTAAGCATCTCCTCTCGACCGTTCACACCCGCAATGTGCTCCTTGTCATGATCCATTGAACGGAAAATCCGTAGACATTTCAGTGTGAAAATAATAGCCTTACAACTTGTATGAAAAACTGTAAGTCAATATCAATATTAATATA